AGTGAGAGCGCATAACGAATCCAAGGGGACCTGGGGTTGAAATAAGGAAATATACGGCAGATCCCGTTAAAAGGCTCCCAACTTCGTCACTTTTACCGACCCAGCTAGGCCTTGCCTGTTGTGTGTTTTTGCTTTTGTTTTTGTTTTATTTATTGTATTTATTTTATTTTTTAAATTATTTTAATTTTTATTTATTATTATTTATTTTTTATTTTTTAAATTTTTATTTATTATTATTTTCATTATTTTTTATTTTTTATTTTTTTAATTTTTTAAATTTTAATTATCTTTTTTTATTTTTTTAAATTTTTATTTATTATTATTTTTTTATTTTTAATTTTAAAAATTTTTTAAATTTTTATTTATTATTTTTTTATTTTTTATTTTTTAAATTTTTATTTATTATTATTTTTATTATTTTTTATATTTTATTTTTTTTAATTTTTATTTATTATCTTTTATTTTTTAAATTTTTAAATTTTTATTTATTATTATTTATTATTATTTTTTTAAATTTTTTTAAATTTTTATTTTTTATTTATTTTATTATATATATTTTTTTAAGAGTGTTTTTTTTTTTAAATCTTATTACAGGCCTGGCTCTCTCCTTACAGAGAGAGCAGCAGCTCTCTACCTACCCTAAGAGCTTCAGGGCAGATTCCTGGAATTCCTGGAGCAGCTCACGCCCTATATTTAACTCACCCCAGACAGGCCTGGGCCAGATGTCAGCCCCGGACGGGAGAGCTCCCTGAATGAATGAACACCAGGAGGACGGAAAAACCAGCAGAAAAGCTCACTGTCTACCCCTCTTCCTCTTCTCTGTGCAAACCTTGAGGGTCTGGGTTGGCCCTTGTAATTAGTCATTTTTAAAAAAATATATTTTTATTGATTTCAGAGAGGAAGGGAGAGGGAGAGAGAGAGAGAGAATCATCCATGATGAGAGAGAATCATGGATTGGCTGCCTCCTGCACGCCCCCTACTGGTTGGGGATGGAGCCTGCAACATGGGCATGTGCCCTTGACCGGGAATCGAACCCGGGACCCTTCAGTCCACAGGCCGATGCTCTATCCACTGAGCCATACTGGCTAGAGCTGCAGCCAAATATTTACTTAAAAAATTTTTTTTGTTACTTAATTAGCAAAGCTTTTTCTTTCTTCCTCTCTCTTTCTCTCTCTCTCTCTCTTTTTTTCTTTCTCTCTCTCTTTCTTTCTTTCTTTCTTTCTTTCTTTCTTTCTTTCTTTCTTTCTTCTTTCTTTTTCTCCCTTCCACACCAACCCGGCTTTCAAAAATATTTTTTATTGATATTTAAAAAGAGAGAGAGGGAGAGAGAGAGAGAGAAAAACATCCATGAGGAGAGAGAATCATGGACCGGCTGCCTCCTGCACGCCCCCTACTGGGGATGGAGCCCGCAACCCGGACGTGTGCCCTTGACCAGGAATCGAACCCGGAACCTCCTGGTTCCTAGGTCAACGCTCACCACTGAGCCACACCGGCCGGGGCTGTAATTCGATATTAATAACAGGAAAGGAACAAAGAGAAAGCCGGATATCATAAGTAGGTCATTTTGGCAGGAAGTTAGAACTTGACACTCCCCAGGGGTCCAAGAAAAGGAAGATGGACACATGCCCAGTAAATTTGGGGTGTGGGGGGGCGGGACTAGCCAAGGTCCATGCTGTCCATCACACCCGGGGACAGAGATGGGTGGCCAGAACGGGTGTGTCCACTGCAAATAAATTGAAATTTAGGATTCTTTTTAAAAATATATATATTTTATTGATATTTTACAGAGAGGAAGGGAGAGGGATAGAGAACTAGAAACATCGATGAGAGAGAAACATCGATCAGCTGCCTCCTGCACGCCCCCTACTGGGGATGTGCCCGCAACCAAGGTACATGCCCTTGGCCGGGAATCGAACCCGGGACCCTTCAGTCCGCAGGCCGACGCTCTATCCACTGAGCCACACCGGTTCGGGCGAAATTTGGGATTCTTAATGCCCTGAACAAAAACGTTAACTCTTAGTTCTCTCTCTTTTTTATTTTGTTACTAGAGGCCGGGTGCACGAATTCGTGCAGGGGTGGGGTCCCTCGGCCTGGCTGGCGATCGAGGTCTATCAGGGGGATGGCCAGCCGGGGGGAGAGTCCAAGGGAGGCTGGCTGTGGGGCCGCACTGACCACCAGGGGACAGCTCCTACGTTGAGCGTCTGCCCCCTGGTGGTCAGTGCGCGTCATAGCGACTGGTCGAACGGTCATTCTGGTTGTTCAGCCCTAACGGTCCCTTAGGCTTTTCTATATGTAGATTATTTTTAAAAATATATATTTTATTGATTTTTTTACAGAGAGGAAGGAAGAGGGATAGAGAGTTAGAAACATCGATGAGAGAGAAACATCGATCAGCTGCCTCCTGCACGCCCCCCACTGGGGATGTGCCCGCCACCCAGGTACATGCCCTTGACTGGAATCGAACCCGGGACCCTTCAGTCCACAGGCTGACTCTCTATCCACTGAGCCACACCGGTTACACCTGTAGATTTTTTTTAAAATATATTTTTACTGATTTCAGAGAGGAAGGGAGAGGGAGAGAGAGAAATAGAAACATCAATGAGGAGAGAGAATCACGGATCGGCCGCCTCCTGCACGCCCCCTAGTGGTTGGGGATGGAGCCCACAACCCGGGCATGTGCCCTTGACTGGGAATCGAACCCTGACCCCCTGGTTCCTAGGTCAGTGATCAACCACTGAGCCACACTGGCCGGGCCCAATGCCTGATTTCCCCTCTCACCTTTCTGTGTGGGGTGCTGGTACCTCCGTCTTCTGAAGGGGCTCCTTCAGCCGAAAGTGGGGTCTCATTCACTACCGTGGGCGTCTCCAAAGTCTCCCCAGGAGCCGTGGCCTCTGAATTCGCACACGGCCCCTCTGCACAAGGCGCTATATTTGCACACGGCACCTCAACGCGAGGGAGAGAATTCTGGGCACAGAAAAATGGACACAATTATCAGGGTTTTATTATGACTTTTCAACTCTCGAACTGACCTCAGATCCCTAAGCCCACCCCATTCTCTGGCTCTCGAACTCAACTATCGGTATTGATTCAATACTAGAGGCCTGGTGCACGAATTCCAACACCGGTGGGGTCCCTAGGCCTGGCCGATCAGGACCTGACAGTGAGGGGGAGGGATGGGGGAGTGTGCAGCCCTAACTGGTGTGGTTCAGTGGATAGAGCATCAGCCTGCAGACTGAAGGGTCCCAGGTTCGATTCCGCTCAAGGGCATGTCCCTGGGTCGCACGCACATCCATTAGGGGGCGTGCAGGAGGCAGCTGATCGATGTTTCTCTCTCATCGATGTTTCTAACTCTCTATCCCTCTCCCTTCCTCTCTGTAAAAAAATCAATAAAATATTTTAAAAAACAGACTGTGAGAGGTTGGCTGTGGGAGCACACTGACCACCAGGAGACGGCTCCTGTGTTGAGCGTCTGCCCCCTGGTAGTCAGTGTGCGTCATAGCAACCGGTCGACCAGTCTTTCCCGACGTTCTGTTCGTTTGGTCCTAACAGTCACTTAGGCTTTTATATACATAGATGTTAGGTCTGATCAAATAATTGTTTGTTTTTATATTTGTTTTTTTGTGTGTTTTTTTAAAGTAATTTTTTAAAATATATTTTATTGATTTTTTACAGAGAGGAAGGGAGAGAGATAGATAGTTAGAAACATTGATGAGAGAGAAACATCGACCAGCTGCCTCCTGCACATCTCCCACTGGGGATGTGCCCGCAACCCAGGTACATGCCCTTGACCGGAATCGAACCCAGGACCCTTCAGTCTGCAGGCCAACGCTCTATCCACCGAGCCAAACCAGTTTTGGCGTTATATTTGTTTTTGATAGATTTTTATTGATTAGCCAATGGGAAGGGTAGCGGAGGTACGGCTAATTACCATGTTTCTCTTTTATTAGATAGGATATATATATCTCTCTCTATATATATATAGATGTTAGGTCTGATCAAATAATTGTTCATATATTTGTTTTTGATACATTTTTAATGATTTAAAAAAGGGAGAGGGAGAGAGAAACATCCATGATGCGAGAGAATCATGGATCGGCTGCCTCCTGCACGCCCCCTACTGGGGATCGAGCCCGCAACCCGGGCATGTGCCCTTGACCGGGAATCGAACCCTAACCTTCTGGTTCCTAGGTCGACGCTCAATCGCTGAGCCAGGCCGGCAGGATTGACTCGATTCTCAACTCCTGTGTCCCGAGGGAATCCGCCCACTTACCGTGTGTCCGGGCGCCGGATGGCGTGGCTCGTCCGGGATGCGTTCGTACAGAGGCAAGACGCTGCGGTGGTAGATGTTCCACCACAGGTTCAGGAAGCTCAGCTGGTGCTGGGGGGCCGCCCCAGGGGCCTCCTCCAGCACCGAGCCCGTCTGCGGGTTGTACCTGTAGTTCCACGGCTTCTTGGGCCCCAGAAAGTGGACCACCTTCGCCCTCGAACCGAACCTGAGAAAGAAACACACAGGAGATTTCCACTGGGGAGCGGACAGACACGTTCAAAACGCAACCAGCAGCCCGGCCAGTGTGGCTCAGTGGTGAGCGTCCACCTGTGAACCAGGAGGTTACGGGTTCAATAGCCGGTCAAGGGCACGTGCCTGGGTTGCAGGCTCGACCCCCAGTAGGGGGCGTGCAGGAGGCAGCCAGTCTGAGATTCTCTCTCATCGTGGATGTTTCTCTCTCTCTCTCTCCCTCTCCCTTCCTCTCTCTGAAATCAATTTTTAAAAAAAACAGCAACAACAGAGACAAAAAAAACAGCTTTTTATAATTCATAATGCAAACTGCAAACTAAAGAAAAAAACATCTTAAAATAAAGCTTCTTTTACAAGATTATGAATTTTTCTTTCTCAGTCCTTTTATATTTTCTCAATTACCACCACACCCAACACTCAGAAACGTTTTTATTGACTTGGTTTTCCTGTGGTCGATGACGTTTATGATTGGTTTGCTTTTGTATTCCATTTCCTCCAATTTCTCCCCCTGGGCAACCATCAGCTTATTTTCTGAATCTGCTTTTGTTTGTTTATTTGTTCCATTTATTTTATTTTGAGATTCCACATACAAGTGAAATCACCTGGTGTTTGTCTTTCTCTGTCTGACCTATTTCACCCTCTAGACCAGCCTTTCTCATCCTGTGGGTCGCGACCCCCTTTGGCGGTCGAACGACCCTTTCACGGGGGTCGCCTAAGACCATCCTGCATCTCCGATATTCCCATGACGATTCATCACAGTAGCAACATCACAGTGATGACGTAGCAACGGAAATAATTTTATGGTTGGGGGTCCCAATATGAGCAACTGTCTTGAAAGGGCCAGAAGGTTGAGAACCAGTGCTCCAGGTCCACGTATGCTGTTGCATGTGGTAAGCTCTAGTCCTTTTTCATGGCTGCGTAATATTCCACTGCGTACCTGTGGCCGGAGCGGCTCTAGAGTTCAGCCTCGCCTAACTGACCTGTGGCAGGGCCACACACAAGTCCCAGCTTGGAGGGCAGAGCCCTCTCAGCTTCATTAAGTTTAACCTCACAGCCACCCCCTAGATCGGTGGTTCTCCACCTTCCTCATGCCTCAACCCTTTCATACAGTTCCTCATGTTGTGGTGACCCCCCAATCTCATTGTTACAAATTGAACATCATCAAAGCATCGTGATTCATCGCAAAAACAGTATGTAATTATTATTTTTTATTATTTTTTATTCCTTACAGAGAGGAAGGGAGAGGGATAGAGAGTTAGAAACATCAATGAGAGAGAAACATCCATCAGCTGCCTCCTGCACGCCCCCCACTGGGGATGTACCCGCAACCCAGGTCCATGCCCTTGACGGGAATCGAACCTGGGACCCTTCAGTCCGCAGGCCGACGCTCCATCCACTGAGCCAAACCGGTTTGGGCAAAATCTGAGATTCTTAATGCCCTGAACAAAAAACGTTAACTCTTAGTTCTCTCTCTTTTTTATTTTATTATTAGAGGCCCGGTGCACGAATTCGTGCACGAGTGGGGTCCCTTGGCCTGGCTGGCGATCGAGGTCTATCAGGAGGCTGGGCCAGCCGGGGGGGAGAAAGAAAGAAAGAAAGAAAGAAAGAAAGAAAGAAAGAAAGAAAGAAAGAAGAAAGAAAGGCCCCTGTGAAAGGGTTCGTTCAAGCCCCAAAGGGGTCGCGACCCACAGGTTGAGAACCGCTGCTCTAGATCCTCCTGGGAAGCTAATGAGCTGTGGGAGGTGCAGCAAATGCTGCAAAAACAAGTGAAACTCACAAGAACATTGTAACTATGTTGACCACCACCTTGTCTTTCTCCGACTATAAAATAAAGGCTCAAGCCGAACCGGTTTGGCTCAGCGGATAGAGCATCGGCCTGCGGACTCAAGGGTTCCGGGTTCGATTCCCGGTCAAGGGCACATGCCCGGGTTGTGGGCTCGATCCCCAGTAGGGGGCGTGCAGGAGGCAGCTGATCGATGTTTCTCTCTCATCGATGTTTCTAACTCTCTGTCCCTCTTCCTTCTTCTCTGTAAAAAAAATAAAATAAAGGCTCAGCTTCCTGGCTGGATCCGTCTTTTCTGCGGCCTCATCCAGGCACAGGAGATCCACCAAGCCCCAGCTGTATTCTCTTTTTCTGTCTTTTCTTTAATTCCTCGCCGCCCCCCCTCCGGCTCACGGAACCCTTGGCTGTGCGGGCGTGACACATACATGCACTGCAGCGTCTCTGTCCGCTTGTCTATGGTCGGACTCCTAGCTTCCTGCTGTCGATCATGTTCGACCTCCAGTAGGAAGGGAGCCAATCGATCGATGATCCTCTCTCATTATTCCTGTTTCTCTCTCTCTCCTTCCTTCTCCCTTCCTCTCTCTGAAGTTCAACAAAAACACGGTTCAAAAATTCAAAGACCCCCTCCCTGGCCGGTTTGGTTCAGTGGATAGACGGTCGCCCTGCGGATTGAAGGGTCCCGGGTTCGATTCCGGTCAAGGGCATGTACCTTGGTTGCGGGCACATCCCCAGTGGGGGGCGTGCAGGAGGCAGCTGGTCGATATTTCTCTCTCATCCATGTTTCTGACTCTCTATCCCTCTCCCTACCACTCTGTAAAAAAATCAATTAAAAAAAAAATTCAAAAGCTCCCGGGCCGGTGTGGTTCAGTGGATAGAGGGTCACCCTGCGGACTCAAGGGTCCCGGGTTCGATTCCCGTCAAGGGCACATGCCCGGTTTGCAAGAGGCAGCCAATGCATGATTCTCTCTCATTGGTGATGTTTCTCTCTCTCTCTCTTTCTCCCTCTCCCTTCCTCTCTCTGGAATCAATAAAAAAATAAAATAAAATAAATAAAATTTCAAAAGCTGATGTGAGGTGGTAATTAATACCTCAGACTCAGACCCGGGACCGGGCACGCGCGTGTGCACTTACTGTCTGAACGCCGGGCTGTAGGTGTATGCGTTGCTGCTGCTCAGATTGTAGACGAAAGGCAAGTGTTTCTGAATGTCGGCCGTGGCCCAGCTGCTGAAGAAGCTGTTGAGCAGGCCCTGATCGGCCCCTGAACGGTGAACAGAGAAGTTAACGTCAACGAGGGCGTTTGAAGGTCATTCAAGCTCATTGAAGGTCATTGAAGGTCACTCAGCGCATGTCTCCTCTCTTCCTGCTCAAACATGATTATTCTCTCAAAGTGCGACATACATCAACATCGTTCCTTTTTATTAATAAGCAGCAGTAGCCCTAGCTGGTGTGGCTCAGTGGATAGAGCGTCGGCCTGCGGACTGAAGGGTCCCGGGTTCGATTCCCAGTCAAGGGGACATGCCCGGGTTGCAGGCTCCATCCCCAGGAGGGGGCGTGCAGGAGGCGGCCGGTCCATGATTCTCTCTCCTCATGGATGTTTCTCTCTCTCCCCCTTCCTCTCCCTTCCTCTCTGAAATCAATAAAAATACATTTTTAAAAGAATACTAGGAGTGTTTGAATGTCATCCAAGGTCATCGAACACAGTTCTCCTCTCTGCCCGCTAAAACGTTATCCTTGTCTCAAAGTGAGACATAAACCAACAATCATTAATTTGTATCGATTACCAGTAGGGAATGCCATGAATACATGATTATTTATGGTATACTATTCATTATTTTATTTAAAAAATTCTTTTCTTTTTTTTTTTTAATATATTTTATTGATTTTATACAGAGAGAAAGGGAGAGAGATAGAGAGTTAGAAACATCAATCAGCTGCCTCTTGCACATCTCCTACTGGGGATGTGCCCGCAACCCAGGTACATGCCCTTGACCGGAATCGAACCCGGGACCCTTCAGTCTGCAGGCCGACGCTCTATCCACTGAGCCAAACCGGTTTTGGCAAAATTCTTTTCTTTTATATATAAACTAGAGGCCCGGTGCACCAATTCGTGCACAGGTGGGGTCCGGTTGGCCTGCCAAGTTTGGGACCGATCGGGGGCGGGTCGGCCAGGGGGGAGGGGCAGCGGGAGGTTGGCCAGCCGGCCTCGCCTCCTGGTCGAACTCCCGGTCGAACTACCAGTCGAGGGGACAATTTGCATAGTAGCCTTTTGCAAATTAAATAATAAATCGAACCTGCGACCATTCAGTGTCCAGCAGACACTGTAACTCCTGAGCACACCAGCCAGAAAATAAAAAAATATAAAATATCCTGGATGGTTTGGCTCAGTGGTTGAGCGTGGACCTATGAACCAGGAGGTCTGGGTTCGATTCCCAGTCAAGGGCACATGCCCGGGTTTGTGGGCTCCAAAATCAGTATATAAAGTAATAAAAGCTATATATATAATAAGCCTTATTATGCAAACTGTCCCCGCGAGAGTTCGACCGGGAGACCAGGCGTTCGACCGCTCGCTATGATGTGTGCTGACTACCTGGGAAGGGAGGTCCCGGCCAGCAGCCGGAAGGCCCCAATCGGCTTTGATCGCCGGTCAGGCCTAGGGACCCTACCCATGCACGAATTTCGTGCACCCGGCCCTCTAGTCTCTCTCTATAAAAAAGGGCGAACATGATCGACAGCAGGGAAGCTAGGAGTCTGTCCTTAGACAAGCGGACAGGTGGCTGTCCATCTGTCCAACCGGCCGACTACACTGGCATATTAGCCTTTTATACATATGGATATTATTTAATTGATTTAAATCAATTATTTAATTGATTTCAGAGAGGAAGGGAGAGGGAGATAGAAACATCCATGATGAGAGAGAATCATGGATCAGCCGCCTCCTGCACGCCCCCTACTGGGGATCGAGCCCACAACCCGGGCATGTGCCCTTGACCAGGAATCGAACCCAGGACCCTTCAGTCTTTAGGCCGATAGCTCTATCCACAGAGCCACACCAGCTAGGGCATTTTGTGTTGAAATTTTCATTCATTCCCAGGCAGGGGAGGGAGGTCCGGGGTCCCCCAAAATCCCAGCTGTCCCTCACACACCATCGTAGCTGCCGTGGTCCGTGGCATGCTGCAGCAAGAGGCGGTGTGTCCGCAGGGAAGGCCGGAAGACGAACACCCCGCTGTTGAAGCAGTCGGGCCAGCCCGGGTCCGGGGCGGCCGAAAACTCGCTCCTCTCAAACAGCTCATCGATATTGCACAGCACCTGTCGATCAGAGCAGGGGACACCTGTAGCCACGCCCCCACCCCGTGGCATCTGGTTTTGCAGGTGAGAAAGGAGGGAGGGGCTTAAGGAGGGGCCAGACAGGGTTGGCTCCTTGCAACCTGTCCATCAGAGGAGGTGTGAGCCCCAGGATGGTTGCTCTCACCACAGATGACAAAAAAAAAAAATAGTCAATCAAGACGCTCTCACTACAGACAAAAAAATAGCCAATCAAGACGCTCTCACTACAGACAAAAAAAAAATAGCCAATCAAGACGCTCTCACTACAGACAAAAAAAAATAGCCAATCAAGACGCTCTCACTACAGACAAAAAAAAATAGCCAATCAAGACGCTCTCACTACAGACAAAAAAAAATAGCCAATCAAGACGCTCTCACTACAGACAAAAAAAAATAGCCAATCAAGACGCTCTCTCTACAGACAAAAAAAAATAGCCAATCAAGACGCTCTCACTACAGACAAAAAAAAATAGCCAATCAAGACGCTCTCACTACAGACAAAAAAAAATAGCCAATCAAGACGCTCTCACTACAGACAAAAAAAAATAGCCAATCAAGACGCTCTCACTACAGACAAAAAAAAAATAGCCAATCAAGACGCTCTCACTACAGACAAAAAAAAAATAGTCAATCAAGACGCTCTCACTACAGACAAAAAAAAAAGCCAATCAAGACGCTCTCACTACAGACAAAAAAAAATAACCAATCAAGTGCTGGCTGGTGTTGCTCAGTGGTTGAGCGTCGACCTAGGAACCAGGAGGTTGCAAGTTCAATTCCCAGTCAAGGGCACGTGCCCGGGTTGAGGGCTCGATCCCCAGTAGGGGGCGTGCAGGAGGCAGCCGGTCCATGGCTCTCTCTCATCATGGATGTTTCTCTCTCTCTCCCTTCCTATCTGAAATCAATTACAAAAATATTTTTTTAAATAAGAAAATAAGTAATAAATAAGATAAATAAAATATTGTCCTGATTCCATGTTGAATTGCGATTCCTGTCCGACCGGCGTGACTCAGTGCTTGAGCGTTGACCTAGGAACCAGGAGGTCTCAGGTTCGATTCCCGGTCAAGGACACATGCAAGTGAGTGGGTGCTGGAGACAGCCAATCAATGATGTTCCTCTCCCATCGATGTTTCTATCTCTCTATCCCTCTCCCTTCCTCTCTCTCTAAAAATCAATTTTAAAATACATATTTTTTTAAAGTCCCATCAGAAATCCCAATTCCATATGCAATCAGGGCAAGATTTTATTATTGTTATGATTATTATTATTGTTATTATTGTTGTTGTTTGTAATGACTGTTCTGTGTAGTTGAAATAATGTAATTGTCAACCCATCCTAGTGGGAAAAAAAGGTAATTTGAACTCACTCACTACAGGGTTAGTGGGGAAGTTAGACTTGATTTTTTAAAAAATATGTTTTTATTGATTTCAGAGAGAAAGAGAGAGAAAAGAGAGAGAGAGAGAGAAACATCCATGATGAGAAAGAATCATGGATCAGCTGCCTCCTGCACGCCCCCTACTGGGGATGGAGCCCACAACCCGGGCATGTGCCCTTGACCGGGAATCGAACCGTGACCTCCTGGTTCATAGGTCGACGCTCAACCACTGAGCCATGTCGGCCGGGCTATTTTCTTATTTTTATTTTCTGTAATGACTCTGTTTTGTGTAGATGAAATAATGTGATGGTTCATTTCAAACCCGGAAAGAAACATAATTTCATGTCGCTCACTACTGGGTTTGTGGGGATGTCAGACTTAATTTTTTGTCGTGTTTTGTTTTGAATCCTCAGCTGAGGATATTTTTTTTTCATTGATATTTAGAGAGAGTGGAAGTGAAGGAGGGAGAGAGAGAGAGAAGCATTGATGTGAGAGAAACCCATCGATTGGTTGTCTCTCGCATACACCCCGAGCGGGGATCGAACCTGCAACCCAGGTACATGCCCTTGAACAGGAATCGAACTCGTGACCATTCAGTTTGTGGTCAGACACGCTAACTCCTGGGCTCACCAGCCAGAACGATTTTTTGACAGAATAAATTTTGATGTTAAGAACAGACCCATCCCTAGTCAGTTTGGCTCAGCGGACAAAGCGTTGGCCTGTGGACCGAAGGGACCCGGGTTCGATTCCCGGTCAAGAGCATGTACCCTCAGTTACAGGCTCCTCCCCGGCCCTGGCCCTGGTCGGGGTGTGTGTGCAGGAGGCAACCCATCGATGTGTCTCTCTCACATTGATGTTTCTCTCTGTCTCTCCCTCTCTCTTCCACTCTCCCTAAAAACCAATGGAAAAATATCCACAGGTGAGGATTAAAAAAACACACAACAATAATTTATAAAAAAATAATAAAAACTATATATATAAAAGCCTAATATGCAAACTGTCCCTGCGGGAGTTCGACCGGGAGACCAGGCGTTCGACCGCTCGCTATGATGTGTGCTGACTACCCGGGAAGGGAGGTCCCGGCCAGCAGCTGGAAGGCCCCAATCGGCCCTGATCGCCGGTCAGGGCCTAGGGACCCTACCCATGCACGAATTTCGTGCACCGGGCCTCTAGTCTCTCTCTATATAAAAGCCTAATATCAAAAGTGTGCCTTCGGGAGTTCGATTGACCAGGCGATCGATGACTTGCTATGACGTTCGCTGCCCACCAGGGGGCGGCGTGAAACGAAGCAAGGCCCCAGCCAGTGGCCGGCGGTCGCTAGGGACCACACTCGTGCACGAATTTCGTGCACCGGGCCTCTAGTAAATAATAAAATAAAATAAAATACACACAATAGTTCCATGTTGCCTGCTGGGAACCCATCCCAAGGTAGCAGCCTGCTAAAGGGGGTGTAGGAGGCGTGGTGTCTGATGGGTTTCTCAACAAGGGCACCGTCTCGGTCCCACACTCCCAGGGTGCTCACCAGGGTGTCGGCGTCCAGAAACACACACTTGCTGTAACGGGTGAGCGTCCAGCAGTGGAGTTTGGTGAGGGTGACGCCGAGCTCGGGCCGCTTCAGGAAGGCCAGGTGGACGTGGTCCGCGCTGTCCATCAGATCGACCTCGACGACCTCGTCAAATACCCTCGAGAGAATAACCCTGGAAGAGACGTTTGCCAAGAAACCTGGAGTCACCTGGCGCACGTGGCTCGGTGGGTGGTTGCGTGTGGACCTATGAACCAGGAGGTCAGGGTTCGATTGCTGGTCAAGAGCACATGCCGGTGTTGCAGGCTCGGCAACCAGTAGGGGGCGTGCAGGAGGCAGCTGGTCCATGATTCTCTCTCTTCATTGATGTTTCTCTCTCTCTCCCTCTCCCTTCCTCTCTGAAATCAATATTTTTTTTTTTAAAAAAAATCATAAGATGTAGAGAACCATGGAACAGTATATATCCCCATCCCTGCTCAGAAACAGGAAACATGAATCCTTCTTCTTTTTCGTGAATCCTCACCTGAGGGTATGTTCCCATTGATTTCTAGAGAGTTTGGAAGCGAGGGAGACGGACAGACCGGGAGAAATATTGATGTGAGAGAGACACATTGATTGGGTGCCTCCTGCACGAACCGGGACCAGGGCCCTGGCTGGGGAGGAGCCTGCAACCGAGGTCCGTGCCCTTGACCGGAATAGAACCCTGGACCCTTTGGTCTGCAGGCTGACGCTCTATCCATTGTGCCACACCAGCTAGGGCCAGAACTGTCTTAAGAGAGACGGGTCCAGGGTAGCTTTAAGGAAGTCCCTCTCTTTGCGAAATATGTGGTAGTGAGCCAATAGCAACCAACCGATGTTTGCTGCCATATATATTTTTTTTTGCTTTCTGTATTCAGAACCCACATTATTGGTTGCGTACAAGTTTGAGAGCCCCTACCTTTTATCAACATGAAATCTGCCTCTCTCTCTTCCAACGTATTTATTTATTTTTGGTTAAATTCGATTTTGGCACCACCTAGAATATCTTGTGATGACAGAAACCTGAGGAAGAGCTAGAGAAAGGCTGGGAGCATGGCAGAACCATACTGGGAGCCAATCTCTCCATCATCGATCAATCATCATCTATCTATCCATCACCCATCCACCCATCATCCATCTAACTATAGCTATCATCTATTTATCTATCCATCCTATCTCTATCTATCCATCATCTACCTATCTATCATCTATCTATCCTTCATCCATCCACCCATCATCCATCTAACTACAGCATCTATTTATTTATCTATCTATCCATCCTATCTCTATCTATCTTCTATTTATCCATCCATTCTTTCTACCTATCTACCTATCTATCTTTATCATCTATCCACTCATCCATTCTCTCATCTATCTATCTATCATCTATCTATCTATCAACGCTATATTTAGCTATTAATCATCTATGTCTATGTCTCTATATTTATCTATGTATCCATTGATCCATCCATCCATCCGTCCATGCATCCATCTAACCATCCATACACCCATCATCCATCCTATCTATCATCAATATCTATCTATATCTATCTATCTATCTATCTATCTATCTATCTATCTATCTCTACCATCCATCTCTTCATCTACCCATCCATCCATCATCCATTCTATCTATCTATCTATCTATCTATCTATCTATCATCTATCTATCTATCTATCTATCTATCATCTATCTATCTGTCTATCTATCTATCTATCTATCTATCTATCTATCTACCTATCTATCATCTATCTATATCTATCATCTCTATATTTAGCTATTAATCATCTATGTCTATGTATCTATATTTACCTACGTATCCATCCATCCATACATACATCCATGCATCCATCTAACCATCCATACACCCACACATCCATCATCCATCCTATCTATCTATCATCTATCTATCTAATCTATTTATGTACCTGTGTATCTATATATTTTTCTACCTATGTATCATCTATTTTATCTATCTATCTATCTATCTATCTATCTATCTATCTATCTACCTACCTATCTATCATCTACCATCTATTTATGTATCTGTGAATCTCTGTATCTATATTTCTACCTATGTCTCATCTATTCTATACTATCTATATATCTATCTATCTATCTATCTATCTTTATATCTATCATCTATCTATCTATTATCTATCTATCTATCTATCTATCTATCTATCTATCTATCTTTATATCTATCATCTATCTATCATCTATCTATTATCTATCTATCTATCTATCTATCTATCTATCTATCTTTATATCTATCATCTATCTATCTATCTATCTATCTATCCATCCATCCACCCATCCATCCATCCATCCATCCATTATCCACCCATCGATTCCATGATGGCCAGGGCTCTAGGACCAACACAATTTCAGGTGGACCCCCACCCCCTTGAGCCCAGGTGACGTTGCTTCTACCCAAGGAGGAGCCAGGTGGGCACAGGTGTGTCTCCGAGTCTTACCTGAGCAGCCTGGACACCTGAGGAGTGACCAGCACCACCAGCTCCCGGGTGGCCTTCTGGTCCCTCAGCGACTGGCCCAGGACCAGGGCTCCCTGGCAGTAGGTGTCGTTGGTGGCCAGCGTCACGAAGGCCTGGTCAGACACTGTGGGTGCGAACAAAGACGCCTGTCACACGCCTGTTACACGCCTGTCACACGCCTATCACACGCCTGGTGGCTCTCATGCGACGGTGGGGCTCAGGGTCACTGCTCAGTATTCGAACATGTTCACTGGGGCCCGGCCAGTGTGGCTCAGTGGATAGAGCGTCGGCCTGTAGACTGAAGGGTCAGGGTTCGATTCCCGACCAAGGGCACATGCCCGGGTTGTGGGCTCGATCCCCAGTAGGGGGCGTGCAGGAGGCAGCTGGTCCATGATTCTCTCTCAACATGGATGTTCTCTCTCTCTCTTCCTCTCTCTTCCTCCCTGAAATCA